CGCAGGGCGCTTCCGCGCGCGTCACCGCGACCCGCCCAGCGGCCTTTGACCCGCCGCCCGGAGGCGTGGCTGGAGACGGGGAGTCCCGAGACCGGCGCCTGCGCCTGCGCCTGCGCGGGCTAAGCCGCCAGGGCGGGGGAGCGGGCCGTGCTGCGCGGTTCCTGCGCATGCTCCGTCCCCGCGCGCTGCTGGCTTCGTTCTCTGGTCGGAGGTGCAGATACCCGCGGTTAGTCAGAGAGGGCGGGAAAGGACCCGAGAGGCCACGAGACGCATCGCAGGCGAGGAGGAGGAAGGCTGGTGCTGCGTGTACTGAGCGCCAAGGCGTTTGGGCGCTTTGCATCACAACTGTCGGCTTCCGGGCGTCGCCCTCCGCCGGGGCGGGTTTTCCGCTGCTGTAAAGCAGGGATGCCGGCGGACGGTGATGCTGCAGCCCGGCTTCAGCCCGTCCCGGTGACAGTTCCGTTGTGTACCGCCCCGCAGCCCCGGGCCTCAGGTGTAGGGTCTTGGCGCTGCAGCGCTGGAAGTTACCGTCCCTCCCCGGAGGACGAGGGCGAGCTGGTTCCGCTCGACCCAGTGGAGCCAGCGCAGCAGCGTGTTCTTGGATTCTGTCTTTTCATATGAAAGATGTTGTCTAAGAGGAACAAGAGCAGGAGGGAAACATTACCTGACTTCAGAGATCCAGAGGTGACATATTTCATCTCTGGGGAGGAGGAGAGGAGCAGGTAGTCTTGAAGTACGAGGAGCAGTCGTGGGTGCGAGAAGCATGACTCAAGCCAAGAGCACAGCACCCGAGTGTAAAAGGAATGAAAGATGACTCAGAAGCCTGCAAGTAGTTCAGGGGTGTAAACAGGTAAGGAGCAGAGGATTTTATTGAAATTGGAAGGCCGAAGTAAGAGGATTGCCTGAGCCCACATGTTGGAGACCAGCCTGGACAACTTGGCGAGACCTCATCTCTACAATAAATCAAAAAATTAGCCATAGCACAGCAGGTCGCGACTGTGGTGGCCGTGAGCGTGCCACTGCACTCTAGCCTGGGCGACAGTGAGACTACTACTCAAAAAAAAAGAAAAGAAAACTGGAGCCTGTGCAGTGATTCACACCTATAATCTAAGCACTTTGGGAGGCCGAGGTGGGAAAATTGCTTGAGCCTAGGAGTTCGAGACCAGCCTGGGCAGGAGTGAGGCCTCGTCTCAAAAAAAAAAAAAAAAACTGTTAAAGGGAATTAGCCAGGCATGGTGGCACCCACCTGTAGTCTCAGCTACTCAAGAGACTGAGGCGGAAGGGTCACTTGAGCCTAGAACTTTGAGGCAGCAGTGAGCTATGGTTACAACCACTGCCCTCCAGCTGAGCCCAGGAATTCAAGGATGCAGTGAGCTATGAGTATATCACTGTACTCCAACCTGGGCAATGTAGCGAGACATCTGGAAAAAGAAAAAGAAAACTGAAACTGAAAGAGGAGTGCTGGAGACCAGATCATGAAAAGCCACATTAGGCTGACTATGGAGCTTGTGCTTAATCTTCATCGAAAGATCTTGAGATCATTTTGAAAAATCACTTTCGTAACGGAGAAAAGATTGGAGAAGGACATGACTAGGAGACCAGCTTGGGGAGATTCAACAGTAATGGCCTCAAAGAATGTTTGCAATTTGAGGCAAAGAACTCTAGGGTGTTCTTTTTTCCCTTTTACTTTACTTGAAAGAGTAATAAATACACACGTGAAAAAAATTCAGAGCATACAAAAGAATACACAAAGTATATTTCCTATAGATATTAAGGGTAGAGGATTATAGTGGATTGAATAATGTTCTCCAAAATTCATGTCCAATTGGAGGCTCACAATGTGAAATAGGGTCTTTGCAGATGTAATTAGTTAAAATAAGTTCATACTGGACTAGATTGAGCCTAAATCTAATGATTGGTGTTCTTAGAAGAGGATGCATAGATATATGGACACAGAGGGATTATTCCCATATGGAGACAGAGGCAAAGATTGGAGTAACACAGCTATAAGCCAAGGAATGCCAGGAGCCATCAGAAACTAGGAAAAGGCAAAGCAGGATTATTCCAAAAAGCCTTCAGAAGAAGCTTGGCCCTGCCAACAACCTGATTTCAGACTTCTAACCTTCAAAACTGAAAGAATACATTTCCATTGTTTCAAGCCACCCAGTTTGTGGTGCTCTGTCATGGAAATCCCAAGAAACTAATACAAGGATCAAGGTGGAAAGATTCTAAAATTCTATCAGAACAAATGTACGAGTCCACCAATCAGATACTCTGTATTCAACTTTTTATCTCAAAGGGTTAGAAAAGGCTCCAACAGTATGTTTGGTTGCTGAGTATGTCTTTTCCTATTATGTGTGTTGAACTGGGAAGATAACCACAGGATGGATTTGCAGACCCAGTGGGCCCACTGTGAGAAAGAGCTGAGTGAAACTCCACTGATCACTTGATCTCCCTCCACCCAGAAGTGCCTATAGAAAATGAAGTTGAAGTGCCAGAAGTGCCTCACTATTCTGTAGAGAAAGGTGTCCACAGGCTTGGGAAGACTGAAATGTTATTTTTTCATCTAAGACTGCGTACCACCCCAAAGATGACATACCTTTCATCATGACTCAGAAATAAACTTGAGGGAAGCCCCAGCATCCTTGAAGAGATCTGTGGTTGCTCTTCTCTTTAGATACATACATATATATATATATGGAGACTCCAAAAAAGTAATTTATTAAAAATTGTGTATTTATTCTTACATGTTTAAACTTCAGAGTACTCTCCATTTGTACTCACCTTCAGAGTACTCACCTTCAGAGTACTCACACCAGAGTACTCACCTTCAGAGTACTCTCCATTTGATGCAGTACCCCTATCAAGACACAGTTTTTGAATGCATCAACTTTGATGCTTTTTAGTGCTGGTCAGAGAGGGCGGGAAAGGACCCGGGAGGCCACGGGACGCATCGCAGGTGAGGAGGAAGGCAGGCTGGTGCTGCATGTGCTGGGCGCCAAGGCATTTGGGCGCTTTGCATCACAGCCGTCGGCTTCCGGGCGTCGCCCTCCGCCGGGGCGGGTTTTCCACAGCTGTAAAGCAGGGATGTTTCAGGTCATAGCCATTGTCTGGTAGTCTCAGAAAAGTGTGACTATTTTGCTTTCCCGTGTACAGTCATCCTGGTCATAGGTTCCTTTGAGGAAAGCTGGGAAAAAGATCAGCAGTATACATATTTGGCAATGTAACAGGGTCCTTCAAGAGGATGCAGCCTCTTTCATTCAAAGAGCTCTGTGTAAACTGGCTCAATCTGGGAATTCACCTCTTCCACATCATCTAAACATTTTCCTTTGAGGATTTTTTTCATCCAGGGAAACAAAATCACTAGGGACAAGACTGACTAATAGGGAGGGTGAAATCATGTCGTTTTTGGTCAAAAACTTGAACACTCAGTGTGGTGTGGGCAGGTGCATTGTCATATGGAAGACCCAATCACCTATTTGTCATAACTCAGGACATTTCTTCCACAAATAATCTCTCACAATACTAGCTAGTACACTGATGCCAATGGATTCCAAGAACACTTAGCAGGGGTAGCCTGTAGTACACAGAGCCCACTCTCCAAAAAAAAGATAATTCTGTTTATTGGGGGTATCCCCTCGTGTGTGTGTGTGTGTGTGTGTGTGTGTGTGTGTGTGTGTGTGTTACAGTGGAAACTGCTACAATCAAACTGGGATTCTTACATGCGGTGAGGATAATGGGATCTCAGGGTGGCAGCAACCAAGGGTGGCACTTAATTGCCAAAAAGATGGCCATGATTACTGTAATGGCCAGTAGAGCCAAAGCAATATTGTCTCACTTGCATAGTCCTGTGCCACTGGCTAGTTAATCATCATGTCCCTAGAAAAATAAATGAGCAATGTACTATATTCTTACTTGACCTGTATAAGTGGAAGAGTTCTAGGTCTTGTAAATAGG